AAGTGGTGTTTGATGAACCTGAGGGTGTTGGTGACTTTGCACAAAAGAGAAAGGCATAGCCAAGGGTGTTTTTCGGCTTTGTCATTATCACCTGACATTGTCCCTTTAATAGCTGGGGCACCTCTACTTGTAGATGCATGGCCAAGGACTTTTATTGATTTGAGTGGCTGTCCAGAGCCAGACTAATTGGGCGCAGAGATTGGAACAATGATTCAGCAGGAAGGGGTGAACTGACAAGGCAGAGTCCAGCCGTCTGCTGGCGAGCGGGGTTTGCAGCGGCTCCTGCCGGCCCACGGTGGCAGGGAGCTCAGCTGGCTGGATCCCACTGCCATCCTCACTGGCTGAGAGCAGGGTAAGACTCAGATGACTGGGGAACCGGTGGTAAGATCATAATGCCCAGGTCCCCAGTAGTGATACCACCCTGTGTCACTGTCTGTTACCTCTCAGGCTTTTGAGTTTGATGCTGAACACCCCCTTACTCAATGCCCCATAAAGAGCCTAACTCATGGTCGGGTACTTTGCCCTCCATGGACCACCTGTTCCCAAGGTGCACTGCAATGTTGGGGTGGGACTTTGGCCTGAGAACCAGAATCTGATCCACCATTTGATGTCACCCAGCCCATCCCAAGGGTCTCTAAAAATAAAGACCTGTGACAGTAATGTTTTTAATTTTTTTTTGAACATTTTCAGCGCATGCTGTCTGTCATCTTGTTTCTTTTCTGAATGTGTTGATTGAGCAGTGGGTGGCTAGGTAATGTTTGTATTTGGCACAAAATCCAACAGTTGATTTTACTTTTTAAAGATATATGTTTTTAAAAACTCAGAGATGTAGACAACCCCAAGGAAGCTTCTCTTCACCCTATAATTCTGTTTTCTAAAAAGTGTGCACTTCAATAACTCATCAGAACAAAGATAAACCCATGAATGGCAAGTTATTTACATCATTCTGAATTGATTTTCGATCCTTGTCGAACATCCATTTTTACAGTGTAGATCTGTGCAGGTATTCTATTTAATGTGCTGTTTCTCATGGAACATTATTTCCTTTATAATATATAATAACTTGATAACAGTAACTCGCATTTCAGTTGCATTTTTTACAGTTTACAAAGCTCTCCTTATGCCTTATCTCAAGCTTCCCACTGTAGCATTCTGTATTGTATTGCACGAGACAGGGCTACCTAAAGAAAGAAGAAGAAAAAAAACCAAGCCTGGGTCCAAGTCCTGCATTTGGAATGACAAGCTATGTGACCTTGAGAAGTGCTTTAACCTCCTGGAACCAGTTTCCTTCCCTGTGAAATGGGCAAGAAGAGCATGAAATGCGAGCGTATGTTTAAAGCACCTTGTAGCACAGTCCCTGGCATGTAGTAGGCACTGAATAATGATCATTCTAATTTTTTGCTATTATAAATAGCAATCACATTTTTATGTGTCTTGTAATTTTTCCACTGCATTTCTGTATGGCCCATGATTGATTTTTCCTCCTGTGAGCCAGAGACCCTCTAGGAAAATAATTTCATTATTCTACTTTGAAGGAAATATTAATTGTTGAGGGTACCTTGATTGACTCATAAGGGGCCAAATCAAGTAGGAAATTCTCAGGCATTCCAAAACTATGGTTCCCAGAAATTTAGAGATAATCCCTTTTCCCACTAAAACCTCAGAATCGGAAAAACTGAATCCATTGGAATAACACACATGTGAACATATAATTATCTCTGGGGAGAGGACAGACTCTTTGAAATGTTCATTTGTTCACTCATTTTTTCATTCACTCACTTATTCACATGAACATTCTACAAACATCTGCTGATATTGACTACATGCTAGACAATGCCGAAAATATTGGCTGTTGGGAGAATTTTATGGAGAAGATACATTTTAAAAGAAAAATCAAAAAGTCAAATTGATAACAACACCTGTTTTATTTTAGTTGATTGCATCTGTTGTCAAAAAAGACAAAAACAAAAACTTAAGTGAATCCACTTAGGGCAGGCTCTTAAGAAGGGAACTGAATGAAAACAGAAGGTGAAACTGAATTTTATTTTATTTTCCTCAGCCAAGAAAAGTCTAAAATGGCAGCAACCCAAAGCATTTTAGACTTCGACCAGGCAATGCTTAATCTGACCCCTCCCCCTAACTCCCTTGAAGTTCAAGGGATTGGTAAACCCCCTGAATTATGTGCAAAACCGTGTGAGCATGTACATTTTCTGGGCCTCGTAGCTGGCACCAAATTTTCAAATTGGTGACTTCCTATAACATGGATAGTGTCCTCCTTGGAAACCAAGAACCATTGACCTCCATTCAAATAGACCTTCATTTTAAAGTAACCAAGGGAGTAACTTACCCTCCACCCACAGAATGCTTTAAGAAACCAGTTTTATGAGTACTGTACAATTTTTGGGGGGGGGGCTATGAATTATTTTACTAATAAGTTATTATCAATTGATATCAGTAAAATTTTGGACTGCTTTTATGATTAAGGACATTAGGTATTAATAATAACCATTAGTACTAGTAATAATTATGTAATTGATGAGTAACAGGAAAAATCTTTGAAGTGCCTATCGGTGCTGTTTGGATATTAATGACAATTAAAAATTTCACAAATGACAGAGGCCATACAGTAAATGAAGGAGCATATTGTTTGGCCAGAAGCCTCTTCCCCAGGAGTAGAGCCCATGAGGCTGCATGCGACTTCCTGTGTATACCCACATCTGGCCCAGGGTCCTTACCCTAGGAGGTAATCAGTCAATACTGATTGAACAAATGGCTCAGCCTCACTGTGGCTCCCTCTCTTATCCCTTCTGGGTGAGAACCTCTGGAATTTAGGCTGGAGCTGGAGTCTGAAAAGATTTCTTGCCTGAACTCAGAGCATAGAGGGGAAATCAGGCACCAAAGATGATGCTCATACCCCTGGCCCAGGCCCGGGCAGGTGCTTCTGTTTGTTTCCTGTGCGCCAGCTTTGCCTCCCCTTTGGCGGCAGCTAAGGGCCATCTGAGGGCATGGTGACGAGATGCCATGCCGGGGGGACGCTGTGCCCAGGTGTCTGGGTCTGACACATGCAGTCTGGGCCTAGCTGTTGCCACCTCTGCCTTCTAGTTTCCTGTGACACAATCAGAAACAAAACAGAAACTAAATCGATTATCATAAGGTCACAGGTGTAGCCGGTGAAAGACTAGACAAGACTGAAAAGAAATTAGAATGCAGCCGAATGAAATGAAAAAGAGTTTTGAGAGAAATCGAACAGCCCTGTGTGATGATTATTATAGAATGGTGTCTGGTACCTAGCCTAGGACTTGTGTTTAAAAACAAAACTATAAGTGCTTTTCTAGTTGATGGCCCTGCTTTAGCTTTGTTTCTTTTGTACCACCCATGCCCAGCACAGTGTTGGGCATAATATTATAGACCAGGACGAAAAGAAGCATAAGCCAAGGCTCCTAGGTGGGGCTCAGCAAGTCCTTCTGGATAGACTGCGTGGGGTCTTAGTCTGCTAGGGCTGCCATCATGAAATACCACTGACTAGGCGGCTTAAACTGTGACATTTATTTCTCACAGTTCTGGAGGCTGGAAGTCCAAGGTCAAGGTGTCGGATGATTGAATTCCTGGGGCGGACTTTCTTCCTGGCTTGTAGACAGCTGCCTTCTCTCGCTGTCCTTATGTGGCAAAGAAACAGTGAGCTTTGGTCTCTCTCTACTTATAAGAACATTAATCCCATCATAGGGGCCCCACCTTCATGACCTTATCTAAACCTAATTAGCCCCCAAAGGCCCCATGTCCCAGCATTGTCACACTGGGGTTAGGCCTTCAAGATATGAATTTGCGGATAGAGGGACACAAGTACTTAGTTCGTAGCGGTTGGGGAAGGTATCAACAGGCCCGTGGTTCCTTAGTTCTTGTTCGGTGTCCTTGTGCTGTAGCCCGGGTGAAGGGGAGTGTTTTCAGAGAACTTGGACTATAATCTATAGCAAGAGTTACTGGAAGGATTGGTCGGTGGTCTCCCCAGGAGGGCTTATCGGAGAGCAGGAGAGTTGCCCGCGGTGCTTCCCTCCTGGAATGCTGGAACCTCTCCCATGACCCTAGCATTAACCTCACCTACCCACTAGAGAGCACTCGTCTGTGTACTTGTGAGACCGTCTCAAATCCATAGCTCCGGTCGGGAGGTGCCTCAGGGCTGAGTCCCTGACTGCAGAGGGGCCGGAGTGTGCTCTGCAGATGTTGCTGGACTCTGGTTCTCTGCCAGTGACATTTAATTTCACATCATTAAACTGACAACCGAAATGCCAGATAAGTCTTCTAAAACCCCTTTTTTCATCCTGTCCTCACTCCAGAATCCACAGTGAGGTCAGATTGCCAAAAATCCGAGCTTTTCATCCAAGTGGTCAAATCCCTTATCTCTTACTCCTCTTGTATTGTCTAACCTTGTTTTGTTATTCCAATTTAATTTTTATCACAAAATAGTTTAGATGTACGAAAAAGTGTAGAAAGTAGCATACATACCGAGGTACCGACCACTCAGCTTAAGAAAGGAACAAAACCGCAGCTAAAGCGCGGCAGCACGTTCCAGCCCTTTGTAAGCAGGGCCACTAAGCACAAACCTGGGAACAGCCAAGGCAGTAGCTCAGTGACATATTAAAGAGTGAGGGTTTGGGGCTGGGTAGACCCAGGTGGAATTCTATTTCTGCCTCCTCGATGGGCAAGTTCAGAAAAATCTTATAACCTCTCAGAGCCTCAAATTCCTCATCTGCAAGATGGGGAAACGATAGAGTGTGTGCTGGGGGCACTCAGCAGGTGGTAGTTGTTGCTTCTGCTGGTGGCTGTTGGCTTCTTATCATCTTGGATTCGGACTACAGTGATAGGCCCCTGGGTAGCAGTTTTCCCACCCACGCTTACTCCAGGGGAGATCTGGGGGGGTTGTCAACACTTAGACCCAGGCAGGAGGGCGGGGTGCTTTGGTGGGGTGCTATGAGCTGACTGATGGGGTGCTTGGTGGATTTCAGATGCTCCTTCTGGCTGTCAAGCAGCTGTTTCCAGAGTTTGAGTTCATGTGGCTGGTGGATGAAGCCAAGAAAAACCTGCCTTTGGAGCTGGATTTCCTCAACGAAGGGAGGAATGCAGAGAAAGTGGCGCAAATGCTCAAGCAATTTGACTTCTTAAAGGTAGGAGCGGGCGGGGCAGCGGGGGCATGGTGGCTTGGTGGGAGAGTGCAGGGGGTACTGATCCCAGCCCGAGTATTCCCCCTTGCAGGACATGAATGGGGACATCTTCCTGAAGGACGCACATTGAAGCCCTTGAAGGCAACGTTACAAAGAAATATCAAATGTTATTGTTGCCCTGTCAGTCAATCAGACAGATGTTTATTGAATGATCTACAGTTTCAAGACACTGATGCTACCCAGAGGCCTGTGAGCTGTAGTCTGTGCCTCCGTGAAATGTGGGGCGATGGTGATGATGGTGGCGGTGGTGGCGATGATGATGGTGATGATATGATAGCTAATGCTACTGTGCTCTGTGCTCTGCGCTCTGGCACTGTTCTGACACTCTGTGTATATTACAATAGCTCATTTAGTGGGCAGTCAGTCCCGCCAAAACAAACGTATGTGTTCTTAGAAATATCCACAGTATGCAAAGTCACTCAACAGGAACCACAGGGCTCGTGGGGAAAACAGGTTATGCTTAAAACACTCAACAACATCACCAGTGACACAGAAAATAAAACAAGGTAAGAATCTAATAAAAATGGTAGCGTAGTTTCACACATGTTAAATAGCTATGAAATACCTAAGATGCCAGAACACATGGAACTTCTCCTTGACATCAGTTTGCGAAGTGGGCATCAGGAAAGTTGCCAGTTGGGAGTTATTGTGAGGTGGCTGAAGGAGGGCCGCCTGAAATGGGACAGGAAGTTATAACATCAGGTGTGGGTGGGGTGACCCATACTACCTGCGATGATGTTTGAGAGGCGTGTGTCTTGTGTTTTCCTGGGTGGTGGGAGGAAGCTGGATACAATTTTGTGTTCACATGGTATTTCTTGTGGGTGATAGCACACACAAGCAAGTACAAAATTTGCACTATGATCCAGTTGTTTGTTCCCTAATATGTCGCTAGCACTGGAACACTTTTGTGTTTTCAAGTATTATAGTAGAACTGCCTGTATAATAGAAGACACTGGTGGGAAACATCAAACAATACAAAGTTGCAGCTTTGTGAGAGGTCCTGCTGGTAAGTGCTCTAAAGACTCAGGAGAAGGGACTCCCACAGCCGGTGAGGGCAGGAGGGCTCTGCTGAGGAGCTGGCACTGGCGCTGGTCTTTGAGGACTGTCTGGATGTCCCCCACAGGGCACATAGGGGTTGGAATGAGATGTACAGCAACACTGCTGCTCTAACACAATTTATCCTCAGCAGGCTTTGTATCCATTTACCCTGGGACACCTCTTTGTGGTGCAGGGGTTGAGGCCCTGTGGTGGTCTACACGGACAGGCTGGCTTTTCCCTTCTCTTAGCACAGAGGGCCTGGAGAATGTGGGAGGGGGAGTTGCAAAGCACTTAGGAGCTTTTCCTGGGCTGTCAGGCAGCACCTCTTTTGGGGAGGGTATCTCAGGACATTGAATGGGAAGGTGTCTTGGTCTGGACTAAGGTGTTCATGTGGCTTAGAAGACATCATGAGAAATGGAGGTAGTGTTTACACTTCTGCTATCGGATTGACTAACAGACATGGGGAGACTGAGGGTGTATCTACACTGGCCACCTGAGAATTGTAAAGTTTGGCTGATGAGAGGAAAAGCTACAGCTGTGGTGATCGGTGCAGTGCTTTGACACATTGCCTTTGGAGGAAGGCGTAGCCATGGGCAACGCTGAGCTCTCTGAGTGAGTTGGGAGTCAGGTCTGTCTCGATGGCCCAGGTACGCTTGACTGGCTTCTTTTCAGCCGCCGTCAGAGGTGTGGGTGTACAGACCCTCTTGTGCTTGTACATTGAGATGCGCAGACCAGATCCAGTAACACTGCCCCAGCCTTGGAGTTCACGTCAGCAGCCCAGTGAACACTTGGCTCTCTCAGACAGGTAATGATATCGACTAATTGCCTGGTGCTGTGGAGTCTCAAAATAAGCTTCCACTTGCATTCCATTTCTTCCATTCCTATCTTCCACATTTATTGAACATTTCCTGGGTCAGTTGCTGTGCTAGAGCTGGGGTGTGTGTAGATGAGTAAGACACGGTTGGCTCCTGCCTGGGGGGCAAACACACAAATGTGTTATAGCACAGGCTGGTCACGCTATGACAGAGACTTACTTGTCTATGCTTCTGTGGATGCCTAAGAGGAAGTACTTAATTCCACCCAGGATATGGAGCTCAGAGGGGGATTACAGGAAGTGTTGATTATACAAGGGAATAGGCAATATTTACTGAATGTTCCTTTTGCTGCAATGAGCACTGTGCAGGTATGATGACATCAAATCCTTGCAACAACCATCATCCCATTTTGTAGATGGCAGTCAGAGTGGAGATGCTTGGACTGCAACCCAGATTTTCTGACTTCGACCCAGGTACTCGTCTGAGGACATTCTGTTGCCTCTTACACGGCAGGGGTGCTCTTCAGAGCTAGAACTATGAGCCAGACAAACAGAACCATCTCCTCCACTGTTCCCATGGAAACAGCAAAATTGTCCCCTGGCTGGGGCCAACTAGCATCTGCCAGACCAAGACATGTAATAATAATAATAACACGAAATTTTGAAATGAGGATGCCAAATGGGTAAATAATTAATGTAACAATTTGACCTACTGCTTCTTAAAACCTGCACACCATTCCTAAGACAATGGTAGAATTAAGGCTCCTGAGTACTTAATTTTGCCTAAACAAATAACAAGTGGGAAGTGAATTTTGCGCTGCAAATCCAGTTTAGCTCTTAAAACTGGAGATAGATTGCTTTTGCACACTGGCACCCCATCACAACATCTGTGCGTAATTAAGCCTCAGCAAAGAGTTTACCTCTCAGTGTGTGAGGCATCTTCCAGTGGGGTTTAATAACCTCAGCCCTATAAATCTCTGTGCCTCAGACAAGCGCTGAATGCAAATGCGATGCTGGGGAGACTGGGAGAGGGTGAGGAGGCAGCCAGGCTGAACGGTCAAGACCAGGGCGTTTGTGCATTTGACACCAGAGTGTATGTGCTGGGAGGAGGGGCAGGGCAAGCAGTGAGGCCTGTGACTGACCTGGGAGACAGGCAGCACAAGGGAGGAGGGAGAACGCCAGTGACCACAGAGTTTGGGACTGGAAGAGATGGGAGTGTGTCTCTGCATATGGAGGTGGGGATGGGTAGGGCATCATCTCTTGAGTAGGGGCACTCCACGGTTTCTTTTCTTTTTAAAGATTTTTTATTGCATTTATTGGGGTAACATTGGTTAATAACATTATATAGGTTTCAGGTGTACAGTTCTATAACCCATCATCTGTGCATTGTATTGTGTGTTTACCATCCCAACTCCACAGTTCTTATTGTGAGGTTAGGAGCCCGGGACTCTGCAGGCATTGTGGACAAACCTTGGTAGATGCACAAAAGCAAACATTGTGCATGCTTTTAGAGAAGTGCCATAGTTTCCTAAGAATCTTACAGATTAAGAACCCCCGATATATAATAATTAATATTAGGATTAATTATTAGTTAGGATTTTTTACATGCTCATGCTGTGTTAGATAACTTTTAAAGTGCATTACACGTGTTTACACGTTAATCCTTATAACAGCCCCACAAGGGAGATGCCTTTATTAGCCCCATGTCACCAGTGGGAAACCTGGGCCTCAAAGAGGTGGAACCATTTGTCCAAGGTCACCAGCTTCTTGGTCAGGGGCAGAGGCAGGCCCTGAGTGGAGGCAGCCTGCTCCGGAGCCTACGTGTTAAACCACTGTGCTATTCTGCCTGTGTAGTAACTCATGGGGAAGATCTAAATGATGCTGCACTGTCTGTAACATTAACTTGGAGCTCTGGTTGTGTGTCAGAACCATGTGTGAAACGCTACTTTGCTGTCTCACGGCAGCTGATGTTTGTCCAGCAGCTGCTAGGTGAGTGCTGAGCGCCAGGTATCCACTCACACCTGCCAGTAGGAAGCAGGGGGTGTTGCTTCCATTGTAATCATCACCACCAACTTACATGTGGGGAAACTGGCACCGAGAAGTTATAAAATATAGCCACCATCACAGCTTGGAGGTGGCAGAACTGGGGCTCCAGCCCAATAGTCTGACCCTGGGTCTGTGTTCTGCTCTGCTGGGCTGGGGAGAGGGGAGGGCTCTGGCCCTGGGTGATGGGCACTGGTCCAGACAAGCCTACGCTGGCTTCACAGGTGTGTTGACCAAAACACAGGAACAAACTGGAAGCCAGGCCATGAGACCAAGGCCCAGGGCCTTGAGCTGGAACCTTCCATATCTGCACTCTCCTTCTTGGGGTCAGGACTGGCCCCACTGTGGGCATAGGTAGAGGCCACCTCTGCTTTGTGACAGGAGACCCTGGATGCAGAGGTCCGAATGGCCAGGGTGTGACCATGCCTGTGGGGTCAGCAGATGCCCTGGCCATGAGCCTCTCAGGGTCTAGTTTTGTTGGGGGGCTGTGAGTCAGTGGTTCTTACTACCTTGTTAAACTTTTGCATCTTCCCTGTCCCTGATAGAAGCAAAGGAAGGCTCAGTCGTGAAATGTGAGTGTTTGGGTGAGGCATATTTCACCTTACTCCCCAGACTCTGCTGCCCACATGGTGATTTAGCATCAAGTCCCGATGTCAAGCCAAGTTTCTCCTAGCTGAGCAGGGAGCAGCTTTGCATCTTGCAGTCATTTCTGTGTTACAGCCATCAAGGGGCAATGTCTTCGCTGAGCTCCCATGACAAACGTTTCCATCTCCCAGGCTGGATATTTCTGTCATTCCAGACCTAAGCAGCTGAAGAAAGGGGCAGCTTCTGTTGTCAGGCTGGGCTGGCTGCATTTGAGGGGGAGTTGGGGGAAAGGTGGTAGAGGGGGAAACCCAGCACACCCCTGCCCTGGTTGGCAAGCCCGGAAAGCCTCTGGGTTTCTCTGCCCATCGGTGGCTCTTTCCTGGCTGTTCCCACATTGGTGCAGGAAGGCCCAGATGGGGGTCTGACTGCCTGTCTCCAGATTCCCAAGTGCCCATGGCCAAGCTTCAGTTCCAAACACACTGATGGAAGAATTTAACCCCATAATATGTCCCTTTCATTTGGAAGCCACGAACAAGAGCAGCAGACTTGTGCTTATATTTTTAAAGATACCTTTTAAAATATGCCAAGCAGCCCTAGTCAGGTGGCTCAGTCAGTTGGAGCATTGTCCCGTGCACCAAAATGTTGTGGGTTCAATCCCTGGTCAGGGTACATACCTAGGTTGTGGGGTTGACTCCTGGTCGGGGCACGTACAGGAGGCAGCCTATCAGTGTTCAAGGTTTCTCTCTTACATCAATGTTTTTCTCTCTCTCCCTCTTTCCTCCTCCTCCTCTTCCCTCCATTCCTCTTTCTAAAATCAATAAACATCTATCCTTAGGTGAGGATTAAAAAAAAAAAAAAGCCAAAGCAAGACTGATTTTTAAGTTCAAAGTAACAAAGAATCACAGATTTCTCTGTTGGCCCAGATTTTCAAATGGCAAATACGGCAGGAAAGTAGCAAACCCAGATGACACCTTGATTGCCAGGAACCTTTGTTCCGGAGAGCCCAGAGCAGTACGTTTGTATGTAGGCCCTCATTACGCTCAGACTCCACATTGTGGTGGGGTTGGGGGTGGGGGGCAGGAGCAGCCTCCTTTCAATGAGGAGAACTGAGGCTTAGAGGAGCTAAGGGGCTGGACTAAGTCACGACAGTTATTAGCAGAGCTAGGAACAGCAAACAGGTTTTTTTGACTTCAGGGCTGCTATCTTACTGCTAGGTGAGTTATAGGTGTTGAGATGAGGGAAGTCCTTAATGCCCCCAACACTTGACTTCGCTTCTCTCATTTCTTTGTTTGTAAGTAGAAATAAACCCATCAAGTTGTTGGGGAGCCATGGCGTGCTGATATCCGGTGATTCCTTCTTCCTGGCTGCGGTGGGACTGCTGGGTGCCACTCCCTCACGCGGCAGCCCAGCAGCCCTGGTGCAGCCCAGTCTCTTGCCTGTCCTTGGGGAGATATGTTCCCTTTTTGGCAATTGGGTGTTCTCAGAGTCAGAGGGGATTGGAGAGCATATCAGTGAGGAACGCATTTGTCTGCAGGTAACAGTCGGACTGATTTAGAGAGTCTTAAACAAAAAAGGATTTATTTTCCTCACGTGGCAGGAAGGCTCGCAGAAGTTGTCTGCTGATATTGTCTTAGTGCTTTAACAAGATCAGGGCTGGCACCTCTGATTTTTTTGAGCTTTTCCTCATGTTGCAAGATAGCTGCTGCAGAGTAAGAAGAGTGGCATCATCTACAAACATCCCCTTTTTCAAATCTAGAAAATAAAAACCTCCCCAGGTCCCCTAGTAGACTTCCACTTTTGTTCTTATGTGCCAGAACTGTGTCATGTGGCCGTACCTATTGTAAGGCCTGCAGGGAAAGTATTTAGTTTTTCCTGTCACTGGGAAAGAAAGAGGACTGGGAATAGGTGTTGGGTTAGGATCCAGTGTTGTTTGCCACAGGGTCTTGCATGTAGGAAATAGGCACGGGAAAACTCGACTTCCTGACCAAAAAATTTATCATCCAATAAACATTAATTTGTTCATACATTTATACATTCATACATAGGTACAATACATGAATGGCCCAGGTGTAGAAACTGAGGCAGCGGGTTGGGGTCCCTGTCAGGTGCCGGAAATGGGCCTGGTGAGAAAGGGAAATAGCTTTTAACACCAACTCTTGCTCAGGTGTGAGAGGTTCCACACTTTTGCCCTGAAGTCCCAATTTCAGGTTTGGCTTTTAACAGTGTCTGGAAGGCACCCAGGAGGGTGGGGAAGCCATTTTCTGGTCCCCAAGCAGGAGGGGTCTCTAGAGGAGAGGCCGGGGGCTTGGCTGGGGGAGGCAGGGCAGGAAACAGTGCAGCCTGTCTCCTGCCCTGCCTCCCTCTGTCCCCCGTCACTGCTGAGGCCCCTCAGGCCTTCTCTGCTGTTCCTGGGAGGAGTGTCTGCTCTTGTCTGGCTCGCTCTGCCTCTCGGTGGTCCTCGCCCCCCAGCTCCCAGCCCTCCAGACTTTCCTGACCTGCCCCTTCCTGTTCCAGGTCCCCCAAATCTACTGGGAGCTGTCCACCAAGAGGGTCCTTCTGATGGAGTTTGTGGATGGCGGGCAGGTCAACGACCGAGACTATATGGAGAGGAACGAGATTGACGTGAATGAGGTGAGGCTGAGAGCTCACGGTGGCTGTGCCAGGGACGCAGGTTTGGTAGGGGCTGGTGTGGCCAGGTGGGGCCTCACCGCCCAGAAAGGGGGCCTGTTGTCTGAACAATTGCAAAATCTGAGTATGAAGCATCCTTCCCGGTCATTTAGTACAAACCTCTACCCTGTCTCCTAAAGCTGGGGCTGTCAGCACACAGAGGGGCGCAGGCACACACTGAGCCCCTCCTTACAGCTCCTGCCTGGACAAATGCTCGCCATCCAGTTTCTTGTACCATCCAAGCTCTGTGGGGCTGAGCTGCCACAGAGAACGATGGTGCAAAATCCATGCGACTTAATCCTTCTGCCTTTTGGGGCCCCGGTACAACCCCTCCCTGCTCCCTGCCACTCCCCGCTCCCTGCCACTCTCCAGATCTGAAGGTATCAGGCAAAAAGGAGATGGCAGTAGCCAGCTGTTCCCACTTCATATAAAGAGGAAATAAGGGGCTTCTGTCTCCCACCCCACTGGTCTCAGGGAAAGCAGGTCCTGTGGTGGAACCTGGACCCCATTTTCTTCTTCTTGGTCACCACAGGGTGCCAGAGTTAGGGGTCGATTGGTACTTTTCAACAGTCTTCATCATTTTCACAGCCCCTGCTGTGTCCTAGGTGTGGAGGTTAGAGGGAAACTGGACACGATTCCCTTCCTTATGGAGCTCACAGCCTGCGTTGGAGTCAGATACACAACCGTTGGGCTTTCCCGGAAGAGCTCTGCTTGGGGGCCAAGGATAAGAAAACTGCTGTTCTAATTCAGTCCTCCACTTTACAGATGGGGAGAAAAGTTCAGACAGAGAGAGAGCAAATGTCTTTTCCAAGGTCACGTGGCCAGTAGCACAACTTTGGGCCCCTGACCCTGCTTCCCTTGCTGTCAGCTTCTAGGGTGGGCATGGCCGGGGAGGGGGTGGGGGTGGGCAGAGCTGCCTGCAGGGGAGGGAGGAGGGGATCTGCCTGCCCATCTCTTCCCCTATTGGTTGGGGTGGGGGTATGTCCTGCATCTAGCAAGGGGTCTTTTTCCCACCAGGACCCTTGAGTACAAAATCTTGGGTTCCAGTGGTGAAAGGGGTGGGGGAGGTGCCTGTAGCTTTTTTTGAGCATCCTTAAAGGGAAGCAGGGGCTGTCTGCCTGCTGATCAGGAAAGACCCCAGAAGCCTCTCCCCCTTCTCCCTATACCACCCCAGGTTCCCGGCATGACAGCTGCCATGGGATTTTCATCTGGGCTGCACCCCCAAATCCATGAATCTCTTTGGATCCAGTGAGCCCAGGCTGTAATGGCATTTTACCAGAGGCAGCTTTGATTTCAAAGACAAGTACAGGACAAACCAATATGTGCTGTGGTGTAGCTGCTTGTTTGTGGCTGAGCGAGGTGCTCGGGAAGAGGGGACGGTTGGGCTGGAGGTGGTTGGTGGGAGCTGAGGCAGGGTTTCATCCGCTCTTGTCCCCGCGGGGCAGACAAGATCCACGTTCTGTGCAGAGCAGAACCTCTGCTGACATCCTGTGAATTAGTCGGCGGGTGAATAAACCAGCCTTATGCCCTGGGTTGTCTTCTATGAGGCAGGGCTGGCATAGAGTGTTGGTTTTCTGTGAACATACATAGTTGGGCAAGCTGGTATCAGAGTGATTTGGGAAAACAATAGCAGTAATTATTACATGCGACTAATGTGTGCCAAGCATGTGACACATAGAGTCTCTACTCTTTACTACTGTCCTGACAAGGGTATAATATTAACCCCATCCACAGACGAGGAAGCTAAAGCTCAGAGAGCTTAAACCACTTGCCCAACATCATACAGCTAACAGAGGCAGAGCCAGAATTTGAACCCAGGTCCATGTGATTTCAAAGCCCCAGGACTGGCCTTGGGCTGCAGTGGGATCTGGGCTACCTGATTGGCAGCCACATCAGTAACTCTGCAAGGCAGGAGTTGGAGGACTGATGGAGAAACTTTACCTCGCTGCCCAGGCGCTGTCTGACTACAGCCTTTCTCTCTCCAGCCTATGTCAAGGGTCATTTCATCCATTTCATACAAACATTGTTCCATTTGATAGAGATGAGAGGACTGAGTTAGTGTACAAGCAGTGCCTTGCATATGATATGGCCTGGAATATGGTTAGCGCTCCAAATTGGTAACTCGTGGATCATTGTTGTTGTTTTTATTACTGTCACTGTTGGGCTCTGTCCTCTCCTCCTTTGCCTCCTTTTACATGGATGTTTGCTGACTTATGGCTCCCTGTGCCAGACCCTTTCTGCACTGTAACCTTAGGAGGGGGGCCTTATTGTCTCCATTTTGCAGAACAAGAATCAGAGACTCAGACCTAACTCATGCAGGGTCCCAGATCCTAATGGTCCACCTCAGTGAGTTTTATTATGGGTATACCATGCAATCACCAGCCAGGTAACCATGCACATCATTTCTAGCCCATCGGCAGGCTCCCTCATGTCCCCTCCCAGTCAATACCCTCACATTGACTTCTGTCACCATAGGTCATTTTTGTTCATTACTGAACTTCATGTAAATGGAGTCATACAGTATAGTTTCTTGGGTCTGGCATCTTTGTCACCAGTCAGCTGTGGGTCTTTTGGAAGCTCTGTTCTCTTCCATTGGTCTATGGGTCTACCCTTACAATAATAACATACTGTCTTAATTCCTTAGGAATTTCTAAGGAATCAATTACTTAATTCCTTAACTGCCTGCCCCTGGCTTTTGGTGTTTGTATGACCCAGGAAGCTCTTTGGTATTCTGAGAGGATGTCATTGAACACTTTGACAGAAAACCCAGGCTGGTCAGGGGGCTGTGGGCCATGTGCCCCACTGGGTTGTGGCAGGTCATTGGTGATGCTGGGAGTAGACCAGCAAAGTAGGCCCTACTTTGTAGAAATCAACCTATCATGTCTCTTACCAACCAATGTCAAAGCCATGGCCTCATGGAAGTCACTGATGGTGTGCGTGTGTGTACGTATGAATGGGCACACACACAGAGTATGAAAGAAGCTATGTTACTGAACGTTTCTAACAGGTTCTGAGGTTCTAAAGTCTCTGTAAGACTGTGGGACTTGGGGAGCCCATCCCTGGTGACTCTTCCTCCTGAGTAGAGCCTGGCTGTGTGTGTTCCTTGAGGAAGAGAGTGTAAGAGACAGATAAGAGTGACAAGGGCCAAAACCTGGGGCGTAGGGTGGGGAAAGGCCAGGTTAGGAAACCGGAGACCTGGGTTCAAACTTCAGCCCAGCCAGTGGCTCACTGTGTGATCTTGGATAAATCACTCTCCTTCTCTGGGCCTCAATTTTCTTATTGAAGGTTTTGGGTTAGCTGTATATCAGAGGGAGCAATGACTCTCAGCTTGCTGGGAGCGGGCACTTGAGCCATCTCTTTCAGAATCACCAGGGGGATGCAACAATGCAGATTCTTGGGCCCCAATTTTACTAATCAGAATTTGGGGTGGGAAGGGTTGAAGAATCTGCATTTTAACCAACTCTCCAGATGGGTTCTGAGACTCAGTGAAGTTCAGAAACCACCTGCCACAAGGCCAGAGGACCTGGGCACCTATGATGTTTTGTACCTCCGGGCACAAGGCACTGCTGCCTAGGCGTCCTGACCTGTCAGAGAACACGGGGCGTGGGAAGCCATCAGCCCGCAGGGACCCTTGTTTGCTTGTATTTCTGAACCCAGAAGCAGATATTACAGAGGGTCTGACCCGATGATCATATTTGCCAGTCACTTTAAGAGCTGGCGACAGTGACTGTCATTGATTTCATTAAAAGTAAAGGTCGTGCAAGAGCACACGTTCCCAGGCTGGATGGAGCCTCCTCAAACCACAGGACGACTATTGATTGCAGGACCTTTATCGAAGGTTAATTGGATTTCAGTGAGTGTGTATTTAAGACCCAGCCTGGGCTGAGGCCCAATTGAATTTGCGTGGAATTAGCCCTGAGAAAGGTGACAGAGTCTCGAGTTTGGGGGTGGCAGGATGAGGACTGGAAGCCTGGTGGGCAGACATCTGCAGTCTGTGAAAAATGGGGGTGGGTACAGGGGTGGGGGGTTTACAAAGACTCCAGCCTATCTGTTCCAGAGGCCTGGGGGCCGGCTGGGGGAAGAGGGCCGGGGCGCCCCGTGGTCATTATGTAGACTGATTCATTCAGTCCTCTGTTCTCGATGGCCCTCCCGGTATGTGGCATGGCCTCCAGCATCTGTCGTCCTTCTACTTCTGTCAGGGTCAGGAGGGGAGCTGGGGGTTTAGTCCTTACCCTGAAAGTCTTTCCACTGACCCTCCTGTTTCAGGCCCCCAACTCCTGTGTTCAGGGGTGCCGGGGGCTCTCCGTCCCATCCTCTCTGGGTCTGAGTCCCTCACCTACATAGATGGAGGGGTCACAATACTTACCTTACAGGGTCGTTGTGCAAACTTTGCAAGCTCTGAAGTTCTGTAAAAAAGAAGTCATTTCTAATTCATGAGGTTATTATTCACAGAGGCATGTCTTCCTCCAAAGAATCCTAGAGAATCTTCTTTGCTCCCCTCCTGTCCACCTGCCTCTGTTGTCTTTGAGTGACGCTCATTGATTGAGCTTATGGTGGCTTCACTTCGCCACCTCCTTAGAGTTTCCCTTGTCCCCTCATGCAACCAAGGACTGAATAAGACATTTATATTTTGCTCAGCGCCATCCCCCCGGACCGGGGCTTCCCGGCTCTGTGGTGGGAGGCGCTCTGAAGACCAGGGAAGAGAAGCTGCAGAGGTGGCATGCAGACCCTAGTTACTGACATCACTAGAAAGAAAACACCTTCCTCATCCTCCCTCCTTAACTGCTTAGACTTCATCTTGAGAGGCTCAGGGATATTGGGGACGGGGAGGGTGTCGAGGGCACAACATAAGTTCCTGGAGATTCATTTCCCTAGTAGCAGGGCTGCCAGGAATGGGGCCCAGTGTCACTCTGGATGCAGCCTTCCTGGATTTGGTGCTGCCCCTGTCACATACCAGCCATGCC